TCATAATTGCAAAATAGTACAAACCCTTTACAACCTGAAAATAATATGATTAATAGTGTTCTGTGGGTTTCTCCCTACAATTTTCCATAAGACTACTGTACTAAAACTACTGAATTTTTGTTGATGAAAATATAAATATTTTTTCTTGACATTTTCAAACAAATTTTTATATAAGATTGGTAAACTTCATCACACTAAAAACATCAACAATAAAATACTTATAAATAACAACTAGTTTTGGCTATAGGCCCTAATAAGGTGTTAGATAGTTGAATACTTCTTTCATTGTTGGAAATAACATTGAAATTGTTTTTCAAAACATGCAAAACTCAATAAATGATATTTGATGAATGTTAATAATGTTCATAAAAAAATGAAATAGAGAAATGTTAAAGCTCACTAGATAGATCGCTTATGTTAAACATTTTTAAAACATGTGATTCTTGCATGTTTTAAATTATTTTAAAAGCTGTTAGACATCCATACTTTGAAAAATGGTTACTCAAAACATGGAATACAGGATGTTGTAAGGGAAGTGGGGGGAGAGGTTCATTTAAATTTCTAATAGGACTACTGATAAATGTATATTACTTTTTGCTATTTTTTACGTATAACTATGCATTACTTGTAACTTTAGTAATAAAATCAATCAGAAAGCTTACAATATCATTACGAATAGCTAAGTTGGGTTATAATACAATGATTTTGAAGCATAATTATATCTTTATTTCTAGTAATGTGATTTATATTAAAATAAAAACAGTTAAAGACAACCATTTCAAAGTTTGTAATTAGAATTAGATAGTTATAATTATACTTGGAAAAAATTATAAGGTCTACACCTATATTTGTATTGTAGTGTTCATAAGCAGGATGTCTGTTTTCAATTTTGCTAAGTCATCACTCATAACACTTGTATTTTTGGTTATTTTGGACATAAACAAAGTGAAAACATCTTTCTCACAAGTATTATAACTTCCAAACAATGAAAAATCAATCAAGTAATATCAAGCAATATTAACTGTGGTGAAAACAAATCTCTTATAGTCCAGAGTACACACACATTGTTAGTGTCTGTAAAATGCCAAGGTGTGAAGATTTACCAAGGCAATGTTTAATTGTTGTGCACATTGTTATATTAATTTAGAAATAATAGGTTATTAGTTGAGGTTATAATCAGATTGCTGTACAATCCAGCTGTGTTGACTTCAGAAAAACTGAAAAACATAACTTTTATGGAAATTAATAGAACAATCAAATATAAACACTGCTGCATGATATTGCTTTTTGGTATTGTGGATGATTTTCGAATGATTTCTAGAAAAAAATGGAGGGGGTACCCTCTAGAACTGTGTATTTATACACCATTAAATAATATGCTGTTAATTTCTGAACAAATATAGTGGAAGGGGTGAGGTTCTTTGATCCCATTGGGTCCCTCCCCTAAACCTGTATCTACTTGTACAACATTAAATAACATAGTTATTAATTTCTCGAAAAAAATTGGATAGATGGTCTAGGCCCCTCCCCAGGTCTATGCCTGCTATACAACATTAAAGAATACAGTTGCATAATTATAAGTTAGAAACATAACACAGTGTTAAAAAAAGCACATTAAATTTACACTATATATAATACTTAAGTAGTAAATATAGGGTGGCAATAGGTGCTAACAGCCTGTTGCCTTCCTTCTTGTTAGCAGTTAAGAATTGGTGACTGTTTCAGACAGTCTTAGTAAGTTTGCAACAACAATGATTGAAAAAGTAAATTCAGTGGCAGTGGTAATCAAACCTGAAGTCACAAATCATCCCCCACCTGTCTATTATGTAGCTTTTTCTTAAAAATAAACAAGCATAATGGCAATATTTTGTTTACTTGGATATTTGGAATAATCAAAACTCTAATTTCAATCAGTCTGTTATTTTTGTGACAGTTGATTTAATAACAATTTTGATTGGTTGATTATTTTTGTTACAGTTAATTTAATTGTAATTTCAATTAATCAGATATTGAAATTGTCAAGTATGGTAATAATCAGAAATGCTAATTTTGATTAGTTGATTATTTTTGTAACATTAATTGATTAAATCATCATTTCGATTAATCAGTACACAAATTAATGTAATAGCTATTCATAGGTAATCGATTAAGCAAATAAATTGCTCACTCTACTTTTAAGTTTTTTTAGTTTAACAATTATAAATACTACCATATTCACATTGTGGTCTATAAATTCCAGTTTTTTTTTTGTATTTCCCAATGTTTGTGTAATCTTATTCATAGAGTTGAAGATGGGTTAAATATTAGTTGTTTCTTAAATACATTAAATAATTAACTTGTTAAACCTGGAATATCAGGTCAACTTAAAGTTTCCCTTTTAGTGTTCTCATAAAGAGATTTTAAAATAGCAGTTTTAACTGAAATTGAACCATTACTAAAATTATTATAGGCTGTCTACAGTAATCGGTTTAAATTTTCTTTCTACTGTTATATGCTTAACGAATAAGAATTCATTACATAAATCTTCATGGTTAGAACATATTTCTAAAGTTCTGTAAACATGAGTATAAAATGCAAACTTTTTTGTGTTATTTTATTATCTGATTCAACAGCAAAAGGTTTTCAACAAACTAATGTTTCTAAATTATCACTTATATCTTTTTTTTTTAATGCATACACCAAAAATGGATAAACTGTAATATACTTCAGTTACCTATATAATGTAAGGGGCAGCATCCTTAGGGCTAATTGTTGGAGTTTCAATTATACTTACGATTACACCAAATTTATTTTGATGAGAATTGCAGTGGCGAGTGAAGCTCACAAGTCGCTAACTCAAGGTAACTTACAGTTAGAATAAAGAAACAGATTCCAAGACAAACATTGAGCAAAATATAATATTTATTAAATCTTTCCACATAGTATCCACTGTTAATATCAATACTTAAACATTTACTGAACCGTTATTTTCTCGCAACTTTACTTTTCACCTTTCAGTTAACAAACTTCCTTTAACTACATTAATTCATCAAGAGAGATAGCAATTTTATACTTAAACAGAGTTGGACTGGTATACTTCTGAAGATTTGAAACCTTCATATTCATAAGGGCTTAGAACTGGAGAATGCTGATTCTTCCTGGAGGTAACTCTAAGGAACTCAGGAACAACTGCTACAACAACCACAACTAACTTTTCGGCTCCAGACACGAGTTTTTAACCCATATCTTCTTTGTATTCTGTCGACCTTCCAAATAGTGTTCCTATCTACTTGCAAGTAGTTATAACACTTTATTGTTCGATCTGTGCAACTTCCCGAGCTAGTTCAAAACCATAACTATCAAGTGATTGGTTACTGTTATGGTGAGTTAGCCGGTTGCCTTCTTACTTCTGCTAGTACATCAGCGTAATGTAAGGAATATATCATCACAGTACCGCTTTTGCATGTTAACATCAACTTTTTCGTAGCCTCCACAGTACTAATGAGTTAGCGTCAGTAATTAATCACTGCTAGCGTTTTTCTCAACATCCCTGTCATAGCTTCATTTTTTATAAATCCTAACTCGTGATTCTCAATACCACTTAACCAGCTGGCAGTACTTTCATAATACAGACATCTTTACTTACACCATTTCTTCATGTATATGTTCACTTAAATACTCAGGAAATTGTTATAATTCTTTCTTAAACTCTTTACAAATGCTAAAATACTGAAGCAATTGTAAAATTCCCTCAAAAATATCCAATTGCTTCAATAAGTTGAATTGGCACTTCTACACTATTTAGATAAGTAGCTAATTGTTTGAGTATCTCTATGTTTTGATATTTTGGGGTATAACTATCATAAGCTTTGACCAGTTAAAATCTTCAAAATAATCTGTTTACGATGTAGATTTTTTTGCACATTATAAATTCAATGAAAAATGTTGGTTTAATTTAAAGATGGAATGAATTAAAAAAGTTCTAAGGGCTATTGAGAAACATGGCAAAATGGGAGTAAGAGAAACTAAAATTTTTCTTAGGTGGGACTAGTTGGAGAAAGAATTAAAAATCATGTTTGTGGTTGGGAGTAAACAACAAGCAGTGAAATCAAAGTTGTGAGAATTATTTAAAAAGGTCTATTTAACAAGAAAAAGCTTTATGTGAGATATGCAACAAACTTATAAACTCTACTTCACAGAGTTGCTGTACAATTTTGTCTTATGGAACAACTACAAAACACACAGAAATTCTCAAATGACTAACCATATTTGGCTCATTGAATGTAAAATTTAAGAGTATCATATTTGTCAAATATGAAAAATAAGACAGGACAATGAACCAAAGAGCTTATTTTCTAAACTTTCTATACTTCCAAATTTTGCCAGTTATTTAAATTTGATCTAATTTCTATATATATTTATATTTTTAAATATCTCAAGTTTAATGTAAGATTAACTTTAGAAAGTGGTGGTATATGTTCACATGTTGAAAACTTAGAGAAATTTTTCTAATATAACTCAATTTACCATGATAGTAAATTATAAATTTTGTCTAGAAATCACCTGTTGGTGGCATTTTTAGATGCTGACGAACCCTTAAATTTCATATGTATATATATATATATATATTTGGCATTTACTTATAGATATTTTAATGTTTCCTGATCTTTATTTTCTCTCTTAGTCGTGTTGTGGACATGCTTTTAGTTTTCTCTGAATCACTGTTACAGCACTTCTCTCATTGTTACCTATGTTATACTATACTTATCTCTCTAGTATTGCTTTGTATTAACATGTAGCTGAGAGCAGATGCTCAAATTTTTTTTTTTTGTGTGTGTATTAAACTGTGTTTGTGATTTGTAACCTGTTTTTAAAACATTCAGTTATTTGAGTCTTCATTTATATATGTGTGTGTGTGTCAGGTGTTCTTTATTCAGTAGTTTCATTAGTTGTGCAAACTTTACTTAATTAGGAATGTTAAATTAGAAATTTAAAATTCACAATTTTTTTTCTTTCTCAAGATGCAACATCTCAAATAAGATCAATGTACATGGGTAGTACTGGATCAGTTGATCTTTACAGCAAAGTACCTTCTACTCTAACACCAAACTTAGGTCCAACAAAGAGATCCTGGATTTCGTCTACAAGTGTTTCTGAAACAACCTTAACTACAACAGAAAGAAACACACTGAGGTCAGGCAGCAGCTTAATGAAGAACAAGCTTGAGATAGAACAACATCCTAAAACATCAGAAAATTAGAATTTCATTGCAGACAGTGACATTGTGGATGTGTAATGGTTCCCTTAAATCGTACTTGTTTCATCTTTTTTTCTAATCCTGATATGTTTAGAAACCTTTGCTGTTCCCTTTGTAACACACAAACAAAAACAAGGTCTAGCTAAGCCAGTTCATGAGAAAAAGTCTATAAAAACAGGGTGGAAAAGTATAGATATAAATTGGAGAATCATTTAAACCATACCAGTTCTAGGATTATAGACAACAGAACTTTAAATGATAAAAAACATAAACTAACAAAGCCTGTGAACTAAAACATTTCTGATGCCAACATTAGTTACATTAAGTATCAGTGAGTTTTGGATTGTAATTTTATATACTGTATATGAACACTTAGGCTGTCTTCCATGTTTATATGAAAAATTTAAAATGAAGTAACCATCATATGTTTTGGAAAGTGAGGAGTTTTCTATTTGGTAGAATTACATTTTAATAACCAAATAACAATAACATGTAATATAGAAATAATGTTTTCTCACTGCCAGTATATATTGAGATAAGTGTAGTATTTCATTATTCATGACTGTCTTACACTGCATATGCAGACACTTATTGTGCAAATGAAAAAGTCAAATATTTTCAAATAAAACAGATTACTTGGAAGTTAGAACTACTCACTGTATTTTTTGAAATATTTGTTGATGCTTTTGTTGTTTTATCATTTTTATTTTTTAAGGAACCAAGAAAATGAAATTTCACAATAACACAGTTGGACAAATAGTTTTACTTTAAGCAGCATTTTATTTTGAATTCTAATAAATTGGATGTTGAATATTTAGAGAAGAAAATTTTATTAATGTTAGTTTATAGTAGGTTACATGGTAAATTTTTTTCCCTTGATTGCTTCTTCTTTTGTTCAGTAGAATAACTTATTTTTGTTGTGATTTGCTTAAAAATTTAGAAGTTCGTTTTAGGAGTAACAAATAAGCTGAAGCATACTAAAACCTGGTGTTTTGCATTGTCTGAAGATGAAAAACAGAAAATTGTTAAATAAGCCTTACTTGTAGCAATCCTTGTGTTTTGACCATTTTTAGGTGTACAACTTGACAAAGGAAGGACATTTAAGATATTAATTATAAAAGAATGAAATGAAACACGATTATATTTACGAAAGTTACTAATCGGTATCGGTGCTTACAACGACAGTTGTTTTGGATGTATATTTAATCTGAAACAAGAAAGCTGTGTTTCCTTGACAATTTCTTATGGTTACCCCTTGTTCTAGTTTTTCGTCACAACAGAAAAAAACTTGAATACAGTAGAAATCCACACATTTTCCTCTTAAAGGTTAAAAAATATTTTGTAGTTGGCTTGTAGTTATTACAGGTACAGGTCTTTGACTTGAGTATGATAAATATAATTCTATATGCTGTGATGTAGAATACTAGACCCCTTATCTTCTAGAGGGTTTTATTGTTCACTCTAAAGTGAAACTTTTCAACAACATATTTTAACTAAGTTATAATTCATGTTTCCACCATTGTAGCTTCTCAAGACAGATTTATTATTTCACATGGGTACTCTTTCCACATAAATCTTTTTTATTCTGAGAATGTTTCTTAGTTTCTATTACTTGTAAGTAAATTTCATAATAACAGAATAAGAACTGTTTAAACTTATGTTTTTTTATAACGTGGAACTGATTAATTGCTATTTTTGATTTTATATGTTTTGCTTTCTGAGTGCATATATTAGTTAAGTTAAAAATAGTTTTGGTAGGTCACTATAACTCCAAGTTAATAATATATATATATTTTTATTAACTTTAATTTAAAAGTTATTTTTTTATCAAATGCATGATATAGGTTGAATACTTTATAAAACATTTAATATACCACTTTTTCAAAAAAGCTTATTTCTTGCTTGATTTTTGCCCCATACTTTAGTTAACTATAAACTAAATTATGCAGCCATTATTTAATTTAGTGAACAAAGAGGCAAAAACACAAAAGCAATGTTGTGTAAGCTCAGGTTAAATTTTCTTTATATAATATTCACTATTACACCTAAAATATGGTAAGATGTGGCTTAGTTATTTCTCAGCACATTGGAAACATAAATGTAATCAATGAGCTCTTACCTCTTCAAGATGGCTGCTTATTCATATGTTTGTGTAGCCAATTTCAACATATACCATTATTTCACAAAACTAATTTGTGTCGAAGTTGTTCAGATAGTTTTATAAGATCTGATGTATATCTAAGGTTAAGAATAGCTATGTTATATGTTTTCATCTAATTTTGAGCTCTGTGAAACTATTAATTTATTGTAACGTATTTATTATTGTTATATATTTTTTGTATAAAATAATATTTAAAATTTATTTGAAAATTTTGCTGTGTAGGAAAATAGTATTTACTGTTACTAAAGTAATGTTATGGAATCTCATTAAAAAAGATATACATATATTCTGTTAAGATCCAATCATTTAGATTTATGTGTAATATATAATGATGTTACTCTTTCTGGTCATCTTTATTCTTTTAGATAATATTTTATAGAGGATGTGTTTTGTAGTTAAGTGTTAATGAGAGAATATCTACTTTTCTGTTGATTTATTCACTTCATCCCATAAGATTTATGAACAAGTCTACTAAAATTGGTGTTCCTTCCTTACATTTATTTTTCACTTGTTTACAGTTTAAATGTAAGACCTTTCTTTTACCCGTGATTGAGAAGAACAGCATTCCTTCTAAATGGTAAACTTCACTTCACAAATACTGAAAAGACATTATGTTTTTGTACAACTTTCTTCCTAGTTAAATTTAGCTACAACTAATAACCTAGCTAAAATATCTAATATATAGATTGGTATAATAAGCATTTGGTCATATGTGTTCATTGCATAGTTTCTCTAGGTATATAAATGAACAGTGTTCGAATAACTATTATTATTGTTTAAGTAAAGTATTCTTTATTATATAAAACTGTGTTTTTTTTCTCATTATCTTTTGTTGTTGTTAGAAAACACTTAATGGTTAACTAGGATTTTATATTCATTGTAAAAACATGTTACTATAGTTTAGGATCAGAAAGCACAGCTGAAAACATGATTAATTTTATAAAAAGAGTATACTTGCTTTGCATGTTCTCATGAATGTTTTTTATTTTCTGAATACAAGTAATTATTCATACTTCAGCCACTGTTTTGTTCTTACATAGTAACAAGTAATTAATGAAAGACGTTTGACTAGTAAGAAAGTTGCTTAGCTACTTAAAGGCATCTATTAGGTTCATATCCACAAATCACAGATTTTTGATATCATTCAATCAGCTGATGCTAATTTTGTTTCAAACTAGCTGTGACAGCAATATGATGAATGTGTAATTTATCCTGTTAGTATGAAGTGAGTTGACATACAGTTGAAATAAAAAATGGCAATATCCTAGACAGCACATAAACAGATCCAAAACAAGATATTGTGTAGTTCACTGATGTAAAGTGTATATGCTTTTAAAACTGTTTTGTATTGTTATACTTCTGTATATTTTAGAAAACTTGCACAGAATGAGTTTAGAATTTTCTATTTTTCAAATTTTGTAAGCACTTTGTTTTTGTTATTTAGTGAATATTAAACTTTATGAAAAAATTATAACTGTTTTTTGAAAGCATTATTGCCAGAATTTGGTTGAGGTTCTAGTGCTAATCATTAAAGTTAAAGGATCATTTAGATAATATAATTATGTACTTGATGAAGGAAATTATCTTCTGGACAACAAAGTTATCCACAACTTTCACACTCTTTTGTAATTTTTATATTAGTATTCTGTTTTTTTATTTCTGAGTTATAAATAGTTTCCTTTAGGCAAAATTAAACTGTGTAACACCAATACAGGCCGGATTACAGGTGGTGACGATATTGATACCCCTGTCTGTTTCCTCGTGAGTACTTGTTAGGAGGACATGGTCATCATTAAGATCATCTTTATTGGGTAGATGTCTCAGGGTAGTCACATTTTGTATGTCTTTGAAGCTAACAGCAAGGTTAAGAATGAGACAATCTGGTAGGGTCTCTGAACTGTGAGACTAAAGATCAAAAAGAAACTTAGTAAATTGGACTTGCTCTTGCTGTTCTTCACAATGTCGTCCCAATATTTAATTGATATTATTTTTGAATTTCATGTGCCAATCTCTGCACCCACTAGTATCTTTCAGGCTCACAGTTCTCCTATTTGTATATTTTACCCCAATAAGACCATTATATCTGTCACCAACTAAATGTATCTCAATGGAAGGTGTTTCTAATAGTATTGATTTAATCAGCTAAACTCATTTACAAATGGTCTACATGTTCTGACTAGTCCAGGGGTGGATTGGGAGCCCAAAATGGCCTGGGCAAATACCTAAAATCGACTCATGTGGCCACATTACAAATTTATTGTTTTTATAACATAGTACACAAGGTCACAAATACTCATGTTATACACACATATAATTATATATATAGAAATAGACATTCAATAATTATGAATACACAAAACAAAATAGAAAACTTATAATTATGACTTTATTAAATTTACTTGCATACATATACAAGTAACAACCAAAAATACATTGTTCCCATTGAAAGTAGTGTTGATAGGTTAACAAGTTTCAAATTAAAACTGTTTAAACATATATTCAGCAACAGGGGAAAAAACAAACAAACAAACTAGAATCATGCAATAAGGAAATAATACAAATCACAATTTATTGGCATAGGGGAATAAAATTATTGATAATGCATTTAATTCGCTAGTAACAAACTTTCTGTCAACACACCATCAATAATAGCATCGTGGTCTATACCCTGGAGAATGTCTTTTTCCACTGACATCTGAATAAATGCCTCCAAATGGTCAGAATTTAAAGTACTCCTTGACCAATTCTTGATGAATTTCAGACTTGAAAAACTTCTTTCGCAGGCCACCTGAGTAGTAGAGAGTTTTAATAAGTATTTATAAGTTAGTCCAATGTTTTTGTATGCTTCACTGAGTAGGTTGTATTTCTCCAACATAAAATAAACACAAACTGCACTGTTGCAGAATCGTTTACACATAGAAATCTGGTCATCATATTGTAATTCACCGTTTTCCTCCACTCTAAGCTCTGTCTTACTAGCAGTTTCTTGACAATTAATATGCAAGGTGTACTCCTCAGGTAGTGTATGTTTCAGTATGTTCCAATTATTTGCCAAACTTGTAAGTTCAGTTTGCAATTGCTCACAAGTTAATTCCTCATCAATTTTTAAAAGTACTTCACTTAGCTTTTGATGTGCAGAATGAAGCAAGAATGTTTTTATCTCTCCAAACTGTACAAGAGACAAACAACCCAGGTCCCTAAATTAAGTCCCATTCTTAAGATCTTATTGATAAATGATTGAAATTCTAAATAAAAAAACCAGGGAGACACAAACACGGAATAAATAAAAAAACATTTATTATATTTTCATACCATTTTGAAGTTGTATGAAATCTCTTGACTTTTTTGTGACAGATTAAAATTTTCCCATTGCAAAAAATAAAGTTGAACTGAGTTGAACTTGAAGTAAACTCCAAAAACCTGTAATCCGTATCAGTATGATAAGACGAAAATATGAATCACCTACCAAACAGACAGAAAAATATAATCTATTAAAGAGTATATGAGAGATTGTAGGGTTTGGGCGATGCTCCACGCTATTGATTAATAAATAGTAAATCTGTTGAACACATTTTACACATTAAATGAAACTAAATTTCAAAAAGTATATTGGAACAATGGCGGGGCGGCTGCCCACTAACAAAAGCGGAAGAAGGACCAAAGAGAATCCAATAATTTAGAATAAACTGTGGATAAAAAAAAAACAAGATAAAACTGACAATGGAATTTCGGTATACTAAAAAACAACAACGTAACTCGAAACATGTACATTTGTAATGAATAAGCAATGGTCACGATTGTTTAGATAATAGATGACGCTAAAAGATTTAAAACCAACTTTTCTTGGTCTAATTTGAAGGAAAGGTCATTCTTTGCTGATTTATGTTCTCTTAATAATAATAACGAATAATCAGCTACATAATAATTATTATTAATGCAAAAGAATCGTACTTACGTTTTCTCCACGATTTTCAGAGTGTGTCCTCCACCCACGCCACTAATAGACCAGTCAGCCTACGCAAAAATATACCTCAACATCAAACAAATTGGAACAGAAACAATGCTTTGATTTATTATTAGAGACATGTATTGCGAAGTTATACAAGAAAGGCTAGAAAATTCTAAACGGGGGAAATGCATACAATTTTCATTTTCCTTATTAACATATCTGATGAAAATAGAACAACTTGATTTGACATATGCAATCATATACTCTCATTATACACTATTTCCGTTGATATATGAATAAAAATACACAAATAGATAATATATATAATAGTTAATAAGATGAACCCAATTAAATGCGTTATAACTGATGCCCAAATTAATCATTATTCACCTCTTTAACTTATATATTGTTACGTCTCTGTATGT